GGAGGGCAATCCCAGGCTTCTCTTGTCTTTTACAAAGCACTGTTGCACAACTGTAAGGGATTCAGGCCATAAATACTAAATTAACTCTCTTTAAGAGTAACAAGAACAGCTTTAATTTACCAAAAACCTGTAATGGGCCAGGGTTTCTTCCAAAGCTTTCTTTTCTTTTCTTTTTGTCTTTAGATTTGCTAAAGGGTGCATGCACTCCCCACGGAGAGACAGAAAGAGAAAGAGAAACAGACAGAAAAGAGAGAGATGGGGAATGGTCATGCCACAATCCTCTCTCCTCTATTCCTCCTTTCAGGGTTTTGGGCATGCACATACATGTGCTTAGTGCATTTTTCAAGCCCCCAGTCCAGCACTCAAACCATGCTCTGATCATGTGAGATCTAGCCCTCTCCACTACGCCACCAGCTGGCCCTTCTAGTGCTTTACATCACTATCTCAAGTCTTTGTGGCAACCCCAGGTGGAAGGTACTATAACACCATTTTCATGTCAGATGGAAAACCTGGTTCAGAAAGGTGAGGTGACATACTGAAAGTCACTCAAGTAAGTGGCAGAGTTGAATTCTAAGCTATACTCATCACAAGGCAACTCAGAGCCTGTCCGAATCTCGGAACATATATATGCTTAACGGCTTCCTACGCTACACTATAGCCACCATGTCCCCTCAGTGTGAACATTCTGGGACACATGTCTTCCTCACACCACAGTTCTCCACCTTGGCTATAATGTGGAGGTCACCTGGGGAGCCGTAAACATCTCTGGTGCCTGGGCCCCACTCTCAGAAATTCTGATTTCCTTGATCTGGGTGTGGCTGAGGTGCTGGGATGGTTTATAGATCCCTAGATAATTCCAACATACAGCTAAGTTTGAAAACCACTGAAGCGGAGTGCACAGAGCAGCTGCCTAGGCTCTGCTGCCAGCTGGAGTACAGTTATTCAAGTCCTTTCCCATCTCTGCGTTTCCCAATCGACGAAGCACAAGAGGTGGATTTCATCTCAAAGTTCCTCTGGCTCAGAACACCTACAATTTAAACTAATTAAACACAACCCTGTTTGATTCCGATGGCACAGAACACAATCATGCTCCCCACACAGAAGCAATCCGAACTTTCAGTGCACAACCAAGAAATGCAAAAGGACCCAGAATGATCTAACAATGAACTACAGGCTTTTAAATCTGTCCGATTTTCTGACTCTTTAAACAACTTGCAAACCATTTACTAATGCTAGTCATTTTAAAAAAGGAGTTTTGGCTTTGACATTGCCATATATGTTATGCTTTTGCTGAGTCTGTGAAGGGAACAAATGGACTCAGTGGGGACAGAGGGGAGGCAGCTGCTAATGAGCTAAATTTCTGAAGGGGCATAAGAAAGCTCTGCCCAAGGTCCTTGTTTTCAGAGACCTGCAGGTCATCGCTATCGCATGGTCAGAAGCCATCTCTGGAAAGGTGCCACTCTGAGAGCGAGCACACACACCCAAGCTGATGGTAGACCAGCAAGACTGATTGTTTGAAAACGATACTGAGGCTGGCTTGGGAAGGAAGGAGGGAACACACAGATGTGTCAGCCGACAACACTCATTCCTTTACCAATTACTGAGGTTTCCCAACCACCAAAAAGAAAAAAAATAGCAACGCAGCCCCCCCCAAGACCGTTAGTAAGTAAACAATCTACCTGCCATGTCTGACTTCACCTCCATTTGCTCAAAAGATCATTCAGCCCGCTGCAGGCGATCAGATAACCAGGTGCACCTGGCCTCGTGTGCGGCAGCCTTCGGTACTGCAAATCTGTTCACACAGCTCAGGAAAGATAAGCAGCCCTGAGGAGAAATGTGCTGCCTGCGGCTGGCTAAGCAACAAGGACCCCAAGGTCAAGGCTGGCCTTTTTTCTTCAGTTCCTGCAGGAGGTGGGCATTCTGTGAGCCAGAGCAGGCTCTCTGGGAACATACTCCCTGCTGCTCCCTGTTGGACCCTGCGTCACTTCCCCCAGTGACACTCTCAAACCACTCATAAAAGTTTCCTGAGATACGGGAAAAGCAAAGAACTTTGACTTAAATTCTGAATCAGAAAACCTTAGAGATGAAAAACAACTTCAGTTTTTCAAAGACCTCTGTTCTTTTTCTACCCTGGGCTTTGTTTTCCTGTAACTTTTAATTTACTGTTCTTAAAAGAGAGATGGCAGTCATTTGAGCCCATTTCTACAAGGGAAATAGGGATGCTAATAGTTTCGGAGTATCTATAAGGAACCAGGCATGGTATACCCAATTTATCTCTCATAATGATTAAGAGATGGAAATAGGAATTACTGTTCTCAATTTACAGATGTGAACGGAGACCCAGAAGGACTCAATTACTTTTCCTAAGGCATCAGTAAATTTTGGAATCAAGATTCAAATCCAAATCTGTATGACCCTGAATCTCATGTGCTTTCAGGCTTCCTTGCTACCACCAGTGTCACAGTATCCAGGGCTCATGAGGATGAAACACATCCATGTTCAATTAGATTCTTCATTTTTTTTCTGGACCTGCTGGCTACTTCCAGTGTCAGCCTCCAGCGCAGTTCACAACCACAGATGGGACAAGCAGGAAAACAGCTAGGGACTGGCCTTCCTGCCTCTAGTCCCTGCTCCTTTCAACTCTCCCTGTCAACACTGACAGATTAAGTTCTCTAAAACACTGCTTTCCCTGGCTTCATGACTTCTGAGTTTTTATGTCAACACTCTGGAATTCTGAATGGCTTCCTGTTACCTGTCAAATCAAATCCAACCTCTCCAGCCTGGCATTAAAGGCCCACAGGAATCCCATCTCCATTCCAGTTACTATCCTTCATTGCCCTACTATGTCCCATTGCTCTATGGACCTCCTAAACTTGTTCATTTCCTTCTACTTCCATTGTGTTGTAACAGAAAGAGGATGGGCTCTGGAGCCCCCAGCTCTGGATGTGAATCCTGACACCCTTACATCGTAGCTGGTTAAGGTAGGCCATCGCTTTACTTCGCTGAGCCTTACTTTTCTCAGTTATATAACAGGCAGACCACCTAATTCACAGAGTTGTTCTGAGTATTAAATGAGACGAATAACCTGTTGGTAGGATAGCACACATCCGGTAACTGTCACATCCTCTGTTTCTCCCTGCCCCATGCCTCTGCTCAGGAATGAATTCCTTCCCTTAAGTCTTTCTAAAAGCCTGCTAATCTTTTATGCCCCCGCCTAAAATCCAGGAAATACTCCTTTACTACTCCAGGGCTAAGTTCTATTCTTTCTGAAATGCTAGCCCACTTAGAGCCTGTACCATCTGATTTATTAGCCTTTCATAGTACATCTTGGTAGGAAGAGGTCAAAGCTTTGTCTCTTCTGCCCCCTACCAAGTGATCAGGATTAGTCAGAACACAAAGCACTAAAAAACTGAAGGGCATATTTAATATGTCTTAATGGCACTGGCTTTCAGTTCAGATGAGTTGTTTTTCCTTGAAGAAAAAAATATTTTCTGACATCCACTCATGTACAAGGCCAACTTTATAGCACAGAAGGAAATGGCTCTGGGTAAAATCAATCACAGGTATGTACTAGGGCCCTTGGGACAAGGCCTCTGAGGTCAGGCAAGCTCAGGGTCACCTGCAGCAAGGCACAGCTCTCAGGGATGTAGCAGAATAGAATGGAAAGAGCACTGGCCTGGGGACCAGGAAATCTGGCTTCCAGTTCCTACCTGCCTTTAACCTATTATATAATTATAGATGAGTTTCTTTTATGGATGAGGTTTTCCATCTAAACGATGTGTAAATTAGATTATTTAAACTTTAATGTTCTTTGCAGCTTTCTGATTCTATGAGTTTCTAAAATAAAACATCTTAGACAAAAACAGTGCAGTTTATCAGAATCAGAATGTAGCAAGCCCTGTTCATCCAAGCCACAGTACACCATTTGACCACAATGTTAGTGTTATATGTCAAGGTATTCTGAAAAATACGGCATCTGGTAGGATGACACTTGGATCAAAATATATCTTTATGAAATGCTTTAGAGGACAAAGCTTGTTTCCTGCTAGGAAGTGGGTCTGCTCCGAGTGTTCTCAGTCTTGCAGAGTTTAAGGCCTCTATTCATGGAGAGAGAAGACAGGGTCAGGTGAGACAGAAGAGCTGAGAACAATGTGGGCTACTTCTGGGATGCAGGAAACTCTGGCCTGGGAAGCTGCCATCCATTTTCAGTATGTCTGCTTCCTTTCCTTCCCCTTAATAAATCTCTCCTGATTATAAATTAGTTATAAACATAAGCCAGGCTAGTTTTACAGCAATGAGCTGGCAAAAACCAATGAACAAACAGAACAGGCAATTTCAAGATTTGTTCAACTCATGTGTAAATCATTAAATGATGCTTGAGAGTCCCATTTTCTAGGAGAAGAATGCTACCTTTGCAAAAGAGGGCCCCTTAAGGCTGAGAAACTGTCCATCAGTCTTCAAAGAGAGAAATAAATTTCTCTTGGAAGCTACTTTTGAGAAAAACTCTAGTCGCTCCATAATATGGTCATGACTAAAAGGAAATCAACAAACAGAATAAGTCCTCTCTTCTGTATTTAATTGGGAAAGGTTGCCAAACTTAGTAAAAAAAGGCCGACAGAGAGCATCAATCTGATCCCCTCCTTTCACAGGTAAGGACGCTAAGATCCAGAGAGAGAAGGACCTGCCCAAGGTCATACAGGTAGGACAGTTAGAGCATCGCTGTGAACTGAGGCTCCTGTGAACTGAGGCTCTAGGCTGCCTGTTCCACTGTTATGCTACGTCTCCTCTGTAAAACTGACTTTTAAAGTCTGTTGTATGGAGCAAGGCAAGGAAGAATTGTCCTGTGGCCTGGCCCCTCACCCTGCCTCTGCAGGGGAGGAAGCACTCAGTGGGAGATGCCGGGAATGATACCAGATCCAAGAGAGCCCTAAAGACTAACAGGTTTCATTTCCTTAGCTTGACAATATTTGCTTTGGCTCAAGTTGGCCAGTTGCAGGGATAAATCTAGACAAACCCAAATAAAACAGCTTTTTCTTTCTCATCAACCCACCAGGGAATGATGCTAGACAAACAGAGACCTTTTGAAGCTAGAGGCAAGAAAAATGAATTGACACAGATGACTCTTTGAGGAAAATAAGAGGTGAAGAATATACTGTCTGCCATTGTGGTAGAGAATGTAACAGAAAGGCTGGATTTTACCAGAACCGAGATAAAGGGCTCTGATGAACTTCTTTGAAGAAGAATTCATTGGGACATTTGAAGGATGTTGGAATGGCTTCTTCCATTGCCCTGCTGCTATGTCATCATGTGACTCCCCAAGGCTATTCTATTACTTTTCATCCTTGTATCAATATAGATGCCAATAGTGTTTTGATTTATTTTTAAGGGTCATACAGGAAAATCTGAGGATTTATATGAGGCCTTAAGGCTGTGGGTTAACCATTACTGAATACAGAGCTTGAAGGCGGTTAAGGGATAAGAAGTATGTCTCATTCACCCATGTATAGCTTTATCTAGCACAGGGCTTGGAAAACACTGATAATCTCTAAGTGGTGCATAAATACATATTGAGTTGTTATGAGTAAATCAGATATATCATTTCCAGTTCACCTGTATAAACCGTAGACATCTAGTTTCATAGGAGGGTACTAACAAGTTTCATGAAACTATCATGGGAATCTTTTTAAAATCTTTCTCTAATAAGTTATTTTAAAATGTCTGTTTAGTTTTACAATTGCTTTGGGTCAATATTTTTTTAACAAAAAAAAAAAAAAAGAAAAGAAAAGAAAAAAGAAAGGCAAAAGTCCCAGCAAAGCTACACTAGTTAGAACATATAAATCTGGGAAATAGTTGACTCCGGGTTAGGCCAGGAGGCTACCAGTCAAGCTGTGTTTTGGAAAGCTCCCACCACGCTCTCCATCTTTACTCTGATAGGGAATGGATATTGAGCTGAAAACACTACCTTGCCATTGTCTAGGATATACTTGTCCATGACAGGCGCAGGAGCGGGATAATAGGACGACGTATTTGCTTCCTCACTGAAAGTGCTCCGTAACTCCGGCTCGGGCTCGAGACATTCTGACTTTACTTTTTCCAAGTCAATGGCGGGACCTAGGCAGTTAAGAAAAGAGATCTGTCTAGAACTCCAAGGAAAATAAAAGGCAAATATTTTTTAACTATGCATCTATCAGCACATAGTGGCACCAAAAAAAAAAATGCTAGGTTATTTTTGTCCATTGGACTACATTTAAACCCAGACTCTAAAATAATATAAGGTATGAATGTCACAAGGGAAAAGGTGGAAGATTGGAAGACAAGAATGGACTAGACTCTTAAGTATGAACAAGGAGCACTCTTCTAGGGTGTCACTGCTGAAATGGAAGGGCAGAGGACTTGACTTCCTGCATAGGAAAGATGTTGTATAAAGGTTGGAGGAGAAGGGGTCATGATGATTGAAATTTGGAGAATGTGAACTTGCAAAAACATCCCATCTCTGCAGGCTAGAAAGGAGGAAGGCATCACTGTAGGGAGGACAGGGAAGCCCTGGGGAGAAATGCAAAAGCTTCCCCCTCCCTAAAACCTAGTATCTAGAAAGGAACATGTTATCCAAGAAATTAAAATACAATACAGATTAAGCTCTGATTGCCTGATTCAGCAACTACTCTGATTTTTATTTTAATGTAATCAACACAAATTACTTTAAGTTTAAACAGTGAAAGGAAGCTGGATAAATGGTGGTGGTTTCTGGGTGGGGGGAGTGTTTCTCCATTAGCTTTTAAAAATGATGGACAATTTTTTTTTTTAAATCACCTATTGTATCTTGATTATCAAAGGGCAGAGAAACAGGATGAAAATGGGTAAATAAAGCCAAATGACTTGATTAACTTTTGTGGGAGAATAACTCTGAAAACCAACAGAGTTTAGCATGCTGGAAATTCTCCTCATGAACACATTTTAGAAGTTGACTGGGTTCAGAGATTCAGTTACTGCCATAGAAGCTCCCTATGGGTGTGCAAATAATTTAAGTAACTGATGAATTCACAGTCCAGTCTTTTCTTCCCTTAACCATGGGCACAACCGGGTACAAAGCTCTTTATAGACTGAAACCCTGTACAACACTGTGGTTGCAAGTCTACGTTCAGTAGCCAAATCCTAGACTTTGGCTGGTATTGCTGATTTTGTTACTAAAATTCCTCATGACAGGGCTTCCTACAATGAGAATATCAATCCTTAGTTGCTGGCAGCTGCCAATGTAAGACAGAATCTCTGCAGTCTCCAAAGATTTAAGCACAATCTTTGCACAAAGCTGAACCCAAGACGGCTGGGGAGTAGAACAGCGCAGATGGAACAGCCCACCTCATCTTGGTGGAAAGATTTTAGGTCCCATTCCTGGCTCTGCTGTATTTTAATTGTGTGATCACAAGTGAGTAAACTGCAGCTAGACTGGCAGAGTAACAGACCGCTAGTATCATAATCATTCTGACAGCATCTCCCGACAGTGCATGATCTATTCAAAGGCTGAACCTGCTCTTGCTTTTTCTTTATCTCTAGCACCTGGCACTGAGTGGGTGCTGTCTGAATGTTTGCTAAATGAATAAAGGAAGGACAACATTGAGCAATTTTTAATTTTCAGAAGCAGATGCTAAAGTTTCTCTTCTCTGTGAGGGATCTCTGAGATATAAACAAAATCAAGCACAGCCATTAGATCTTTCTCAGATTTGGAGACAGTGATTCTCAGTTTCTTCTAAAGCACATTGTGAGATGGTATCTAAGTTTTTCCTCCTGTTTAGTGACAGGGAAAAGGAATGGGCTGAGAAGAGGAGGCCTATAAAGCCACTGGCTCACAGGTCATCTCTGGCAAAAGGAGAGAAGCTAAAACCTCCTCTTGCCTTTTTTTCCTCACTTGAGAGGAGGCTATCCAATAAGAGAATGAATCCAGTCCAGCTATGTGTCTGGTTCTCTTTCATCCACTTCCACAATGGCTACCAAAGAGATCTTCCATATGACCGTGCCCTTCCTTGTTTTTGCTCTCCATTACCCTCAGAATTAAGTCCCACACCAAAGCATCCTTGCATCCCAGAACCACCAGTCTTCTCTTTACCTCTATGGCTTGCTCCTTGCTCTCCAGCAGTATTTACCTCTGTCCATGTTCCTCATGTGCTATGCTCTCTAGGCTTTTATGCTGCTGTCTAAACCTAGAGTGCCACCTCCTCTGCCTGCCAAGCTCCTAGTCAGACGTTAGGACACAGCTCGGATGTCTCCTTTGTGAGACCTTGCTCTGATCATTCCTAGGTAGGAGTCTCTAATTGTAAGCACTTCTAGAAAGTTATGCCTACAGTCATCTGCCTGTCTTTTTAACATTAGACTGTGAAGTTCTTAAAGAACAAAGCTTTATTCTCTTTGCAGTTATGGAGCCGAGGGCAGTGCCTGGCACATGTCAGGCTTTCACATGTTCTTTGTGACATGAGAGTTGGGGGTGGAATTCAATCAGCTGGGCAAAGATTCTGAAATAAAGTTCTATAGCTGGGTGGGGAAGCTTGGGGTATAGGTACATGAGAGGCTATACTCTTGAATATCTGAAACCTTTCCTGCAGCCCAAGAAAGCAGAAATCGGGACTATTAAATACAAATCAGAAGCATCTAGCAAGGAAAATGAACAATTCAAATGGCTACAGTAATAGATGAAGGACTCTGCCCCCACACTGTCTATGGAAGGACATCGAAGGAGCAGGGTTAGGTTGAGTGAGTGACTTTTCTGCTTGAACCCTTGTTGGTCCCCTTCCCAGACTTCATTCTGGTCAAAATGGGCTGCCTAACTCTCCCCACATAAATACCACTCTTTCTGCCTCCTAGTGTTTATGCCATTCCCTTTGTCCAGAACATTCTACCCCTACCAATGCCCACCTAACAAAACTCCATCAATGACGCAAGGTCTGACTTAAATGCCACCTTTTCCACGAGGGTACCCTATGTCCACAAAACAAAATAATAATTCTTCTTAGCTTGGGATTTGGAGTCAGAGGGAATTGAAATAACTGGGTTTGCTACTTACTCTTTGGGTGAGTTGTCATCTTCCTTGAACAGAAGAGCTTCACTTTCCTCTGGGCCCTCCTAATCCCTCACCCTCACTCTTCCACAACCATTGGATGTCCTCATTTGTTCCTATGTCTGTTTCCTCAAGTATTGGGTTGTTGGAAAAGTCATGACACATTTTTTGTACAAAAAAACATAGAAAAAATACATTATGACTTTTCTGACAACCTAATAGAATAAGAGGCCTGTGTGCAGACAGTGGCTGCCTCTTCATGTCAGAGACCAAAGCTCACCAAGCACAGTACTCGGTTCGAATTCTGTCCTCAAGAGACAATTTTCACATAAATAATTACTTAGCCTCTCTGATCTTGTTGCCTCACCTAAAAGGAACAATGAACAATGACTTGCCAAGACTGAAGACGGAATGAGTTATCCACATATATGGAATGACTATTCAGAGTCTGGCTCAGAGTGGGTGTTTGGTAAATAACATTGCTTAAATTGGTCCCTTCTAGCCCATGGGTTCTGTGATCCAGGCCCTGCTAGTCTGCTTTGGCCCCAAGTGCCTCGTGTAGGCCTGGCACAGAACAGATCCTCGTATTCCGCAGCCTACCCACTTTCCCCCAGGCTCACGTTGGTCTCCTCAGGAACTGACAGATTTTTTGGCAAATCCTGGGATCTCTGGCACTAAAGGAAAATTGTTTCCTAGCATTTTCAACACGTTTACCACATAGAGGCTGCTCTCTGCATCAGCATCCTCTCTCCAAGGCACTATGTATGGAAGATACCTGAGCCTCTGTCTTGGTAAGGACTATAGTTTAAAAAACCGGCTACAGGCATATATATAGGAGTTTTAGCCTTAGTGCATGTAGGAAGAAAGAGAGAGAGAGAGACAGTCAGAGGAAAAGTGAGAAACCACTCCTTGGGGGGATGGCCACGTGGCAATCCCTTCTCCCCCACTCTCCTCCCGGGATCCTGGGCACACACATACACACGTTCTGAGTGAGTTTCAAGCCACAGAGTCCGTAACTTGAACCGTGGTTTCTATGTGGGAGTCCAACGACGTACCTGCTACGCCATCTGCTGGTCCCTCAAAGGCACATCTTGAAAGGGACCTTTTAGGAGACCTGGGTGTGAATCCCAACTGCATGACCTTAAGCAAGTCACCTGACTCCTCTGTCCCTCAGCTTTCCTATCTGCAAAAGGGGGATGATGGATAGCCACCCTGCAGACTGATGATGCCTTTGGAAGAACCCAACACTGAGGCAGGCACAGGACAAATGAGGCTCAGAAAATGGCAGGTGAGTAAAGGACTGCGTCAATCAGTAAAAATGCAGTGTTTAGCATTACAGAATCAGAAAGAAAAGGAACAAAAAAGCATGTGGTTTCTTTGGGGAGAGGAGGGGAAGCCTCTAGTGCTTTTAATTCAAGAGGGGGGAAAAATCACTTCATTGCAAATTTTAGTCGGCTCCACTACTGATGTTGGCAATTTACATCTCATTACAACAAATGCTTCAGATTGCTGTTTTGCTTTTAAAAATTTCTGAGGCATTGTTCTCCCTCAAACACATGTGACCAAATTAGCCACAGTAATAAGCACTTGCGTTAGGAGACAGCATTGTACGATATGGCGCAGATATTTTAGGTAACAAAGAAACTTTTTTCACTTTGTGGGAAGAGTAGGAACCCCACTCCCCCCTAGAAAAAGCCCTTTTGATCCACTTGTATTCTGTTATTGACACACACTTGAGGTTTATTTTAGGGAAAATACACCTTCTGTGGAGAGAAACCTCTCAGCTGGGTAAAGGGAGCTTTTAAAAAAGTATAAAAGGTTGTACTTGCCTTTCACTCAATCATTCATGAAGCCATTCATCCTAGAGCCCCTGGCTGCATAAAAGATGGGGGCTCCCTAAGAGGCCCAAGTGACCCAGAGACAAATAAAGTGCGTCCCCATTCTGCAAAAGCTCAGACTTCACATATGAAACATTACCAGCTTGTGATGTGATGGATGAACTTCGAATTTAGTGTTAGAAAACCCTGGTATGAATCCTGATCTATTATTTACCCCTTGAAGCCCT